CAATGAGGTGAAGAAGAATCCTAGAGTGTCAGCTAAAGACTTACAAACGTCACTGGCAAATGCTAACATCCCTGTTAGTGAATCTACAATACGTAAAACACTAAACAAGAATGGATTTCATGGGAGGATACCACAGAGGAAGCCACTGCTGTCCAAACAAAACCTTGCTGCACGTTTACAGTTTTCACAAGAGCACCTGGATGTTCCACAGCAGTACTGGCAAAATATTCTGTGGACAGATGAAACCAAAGTTGAGTTGTTTGGAAGAAACACACAACACTATGTGTGGCAAAAAAAAAGGCACAGCACACCAACATCAAATCCTCATCCCAACTGTGAAGTATGGTGGTGGGGGCATCATGGTTTGGGGCTGCTTTGCTGTGTCAGGGCCTGGACGGATTGCTATCATCGAAGGAAAAATGAATTCTCAAGTTTATCAAGACATTTTGCAGGAGAACTTAAGGCCATCTGTCTACCAGCTGTAGCTCAACAGAAGATGGGTGTTGCAACAGGACAATGACCCAAAGCATAGAAGTAAATCAACAACAGAATGGCTTAAACAGAAGAAAATACGCCTTCTCAAGTGGCTCAGTCAGAGTCCTGATCTCAACCCGATTGAGATGCTGTGGCATGACCTCAAGAAAGCGATTCACACCAGACATCCCAAGAATATTGCTGAACTGAAACAGTTCTGTAAAGAGGAATGGTCAAGAATTATTCCTGACCGTTGTGCACGTCTGATCTGCAACTATAGGAAACTTTTGGTTGAAGTTATTGCTGCCAAAGGAGGTTCAACCAGTTATTAAATGCAAGGGTTCACATACTTTTTCCACCTGCACTGTGAATGTTTACATGGTGTGTTCAATAAAAACATGCCAACATTTCATTCTTTGTGTGTTATTAGTTTAAGCAGACCGTGATTGTCTATTGTTGTGACTTAGATGATGATCAGATCACATTTTATGACCAATTTGTGCAGAAATCCATATCATTCCAAAGGGTTCACATACTTTTTCTTGCAACTGTATATATATGTGTGTGTATGTGTGTGTGTGCAATGAGCACTATATCTCCTTTCTGTTTTTCATGCCTCTACTACCCTGGTGATATTTGCTGTTCACAAATCCTAGAGCAGAGATCATACTGTTTAATGTTGTACCATTAGAGCTTTCAAGAAGCTCCTTATAAGTGAGTGGCCATTTGTCCTAATATTATACTAAATGCTATTCATGGATACTGCACTATACGTTTGTTATATTTTATGGATGTCGTCTGCCGTCTGCAAGCTGAAGAACCTATTTAATACTTATTTTCAGTTATTATCAAGTCACCATCAAGGTAAGGATACGAGCCTTGATTCTTCACATAAGAGGCTCGTTGTTATATACTTATTATCAAGGCAAGGACCACCATTCTATCTTGATCCTCTCCCTAAGGGAATTGCTGTATATATTCACCACATTGCAATTTGAGGTGCAACTACCACCCTCTTGTTTATTTCAAGTTATAGATGATTTTCAATTTCCCTTTTGCACATCACTGAAATATTTCTATGAAGTCCCAATTTTGTTTTAGGATATAGCAGATGTGATGGTGATGTTTACACATTCCACTTCCACTATCAATTATCACAATAGCAAAACAATTATACATAGCCAATTAAAATGTGTGGCAAAACCCACAGGATACACAACTAGCATAGCATAATTAGGTATCAAGACAAACTCCCAGGGAATTCACATAGAGGAAGTTGTGATAGATGTATATTCATAGATAGCAGGATACATTTACAACATAAAGTTTTAATTAAAATGACGATACCGCCTAGAATGTTATCATTGTTTCAAACCCTTCCGATAGCTATACCCTGTTCCATATTCATCAACTTAAGGAGAATCATTGTTCCCTTTATTTGGAACTATAAACAACCTCAGCTGGCATACAATATTTTAACTGGCCACAGAAATGTAGGTGGGCTGGGACTGCCCAATATGTTCCATTATTTTGCCGCTGCAGTCCTTATTAAAATTAAAGAATGGACTAACTTTAAACAACAACGACCATGGTATTCATTGGAGCAGAGCTTCACAGATGTACCGCTTCAGTCATTACCATGGGTTTCTTACCATATGCAGAGAGTAAACCAGTTATTACATCCAATAATAACTAATGTATTGACTATATGGAGGAGATATAAAGATATATGGCAGTTACAGAGCCTTGCAAAAGTATTCACCCCCCTTGACTTTTCTTTTTACCTATTTTATTACATTACAGCCTTAAGTTCAATGTTTTATTAATCTGAATTTTATGTGATGGATCAGAACACAATAGTGTAAGATGGTGAAGTGAAATGAGAAAAATGATATACCTAAAACTATTTTTTAGAAATAGAAAACAGAAAATTGGCACGTGCGTATGTATTCACCCCCTTTGTTATGAAGCCCATAAAAAGCTCTGGTGCAACCAATTACCTTCAGAAGTCACATAATTAGTGAAATGATGTCCACCTGCAATCGAAGTGTCACATACTCTGTCATTACATATACACACCTTTTTTGAAAGGCCCCAGAGGTTGCAACACCTAAGCAAGAGGCACCACTAACTAAATACTGCCATGAAGACCAAGGAACTCTCCAAACAAGTAAGGGACAATGTTGTTGAAAAGTACAAGTCAGGGTTAGGTTATAAAAAAAATATATCCAAATCTCTGATGATCCCCAGGAGCACCATCAAATCTATGGAAAATGGAAAGCACATGGCACAACAGCAAACCTGCCAAAAGACAGCCGCCCACCAAAACTCACTGATTGGGCAAGGAGGGCATTAATCAGAGAGGCAGCACAGAGACTAAGGTAATCCTGGAGGAGCTACAGAGTTCCACAGCAGAGATGGGAGTATCTGTACATAGGACAGCAATAAGCCGTACGCTACATAGAGTTGGGCTTATGGCAGAGTGGCCAGAAGAAAGCCATTACTTTCAGCAAAAAACAAAATGGCAAGTTTTGAGTTTGCGAAAAGGCATGTGGGAGACTCCCAAAATGTATGGAGGAAGGTGCTCTGGTCTGATGAGACTAAAATTTAACTTTTTGGCCATCAAAGAAAACGTTATGTCTGGTGCAAACCCAACACATCACATCACCAAAAGAACACCATCCCCATGGTGGTGGCAGCATCATGCTGTGGGGATGTTTTTCAGCAGCTGGGACTGGAAAACTGGTCAGAGTTGAAGGAATGATGGATTGTGCTAAATACAGGGATATTCTTGAGCAAAACCTGTTCCACTCTGTGCGTGATTTGAGGCTAGCATAGAGGTTCACCTTCCAGCAATGACAATGACCCCAAACACACTGCTAAAGCAATGCTTGAGTGGTTTAAGGGGAATTATGTTAATGTGTTGGAATGGTCTAGTTAAAGCCCAGATCTCAACCCAATAGAAAATCTGTGGTCTGACTTAAAGATTGCTGTTCACAAGCGCAAACCATCCAACTTGAAGGAGCTGGAGCAGTTTTGCAAGGAGGAATGGGCAAAATTCCCAGTGGTAAGATGTGGCAAGCACATAGAGACTTAGCCAAAGCGACTTGGAGCTGTGATTGCCGCAAAAGGTGGCTCTACAAAGTATTGACTTTAGGGGGGGTGAATAGTTATGCACATTGACCTTTTCTGTTATTTTGTCCTATTTGTTGTTTGCTTCACAATAATAAAAAAAAAATCTTCAAAGTTGTGGGCATATTCTGTAAATTAAATGATACAAATCCTCAAACAATCCATGTTAATTCCAGGTTGTGAGGCAACAAAATACGAAAAATGCAAGGCCCTGTATCACCAGGGTTATCGTCTCTATATCCATTTGCGGGCAATCCTGATTTTTTTGAATGGTAAAGGAGCAACTTTTTTATTTAGATTTTATGGGTCTTCCCTACAAACTTTATATACTATATTAGAGGGGAATTCCATTTCAACACTCCATGGGCTGTTGGGATCAGTTAGAATTCCAACCTTAATGGAAAAAGCTTAAGTACTCAAAGCTTTTCAGGAAGAAAGTTTTTATAAAATGGAAATGTGTAGGATTTTCAGCATTTGAACAGTTATGTAGCTCTGGTAAACAGGGGATCAGGGCAATATCTACAGAATGGGGTAACCGAAGGAAAATTAAGATACTTTCGGGTCCTTTATTTTTCAAAGAGTAATGTATAATTCAGTAAGTCAAGCTAAAAGGGAAATATTTAACAAAAGAGTAAAATGCTGGTATAAAACACTGGCACATCTTAATTTATATTTTCTAGGGATGTGCATGGGCAAACAATTTGGTTCGGTATGGAAATTCGGGTAAGTAAAAAAATGTGTCTGCTTCGGCAATTCGGACCAATGGCATTTGGTTCGGTTCAGCACAATTCAGGACTTCGACACTTCCGCAAATTGGAACTTCGGCAATTCGGAACTTATGTAATTCGGACCCTAACCCTAACCCACTTCGGAACTTAAGCAATTCGGAACTTCAGCAGTTCGGTTCGGCACTTCGGAAATTCAGCTAGTCGAACTTTGGACATTCGTTAGCATCCGAATGTCCGAATTGCATGAAATTCTTCCAAATATGCATTCGGAAACAAATGAATTGCCCATGTCTAATATTTTCCAAATTTAAAAAAGGACTGTTGGAGGTGTGGACAGGAAATTGGGACCTATGAACATATTTGGTGGTTTTGCCCTAAAATTCAAGTATATTGCCAACAAGTTATAGACTATATAAAACGGGTTTTACCCTTACCTTTTACTTCATCACCCTCTCAGATATTGCTGGGTTAGCCTAATTCGTCTTTAGATATTACCAAGCAGAAACTCCTTTGGTTCCTTCTAATTGAAGCTTATGCTTTAATACATACACTTTGGAAAAATACAACAATACAAACTATGGTTCAATGGGTAGACAGAGTCGAGAATACAAGAGTGATGGAAGAATTACATTGGGGAGCAGATAATAAAATACAACACTTAAAAATATGGGAACCCTGGTGTGGCACAGGCAGAGATACAGGAAAACTAATCTGAAAATGAGTAGCAACGAGTGCTTTAAGTGTGGTAGCTCTGGTCACTGGGCTCGGGAGTGCCCAACTGGAGGGGGTCGTGGAAGTGGTGGAAGAGGCAGAGGAAGAGCAGGTTTCCAGTTCATTTCTTCATCTCTGCCGGATATCTGTTATCGATGTGGGGAATCTGGCCATCTTGCCAAGGACTGTGATCTTCAGGAGGATGCATGCTATAATTGTGGCCGTGGTGGGCATATTGCAAAGGATTGCAAGGAACCAAGGAAGGAGAGAGAGCAATGCTGATACAACTGTCCCTTGCTCGGGACTGTGATCATGCTGATGAGCAGAAGTGTTATTCCTGTGGGGAGTTTGGTCACATTCAGAAAGACTGCACCAAAGTGAAATGGTACAGGTGTGGTGAAACTGGCCACGTAGCCATCAATTGCAGAAAGACCAATGAAGTAGGGGGGCACCCACTAATGGTTGTGTGAATTCAAAAAAGGATTATGATCTAGTAAATTGGGATAAATGAAAATACAAAAGGATAGATACCATTAATGAGGCACTATGAAGGAACTTATAAGCACCACAGTTAAACTAGGTTTACGCATGAGTTTTTTCTTTTTTTCTTTTCTTTTCCCTCTTCATGTGGGTTGGGATCTGTGAGGGAGATCTGCAATCTATAAACTAGGATTTTTTTTTTGATGATTGAATCAGTAAAAAGGAGAGAATGAGATAAATTGAAGAGTGAAATTATTAAAATATTGATATACAGCTTGGAATACAATGTTGAGTTAATTATTTCATTTTTGTTTGTTTTCTTTATTCGTTTACTCATATTTTGGCTATATTTAATTGTTATCTCTCTTAGGATATATTATGAACTTTACACATAAATTGAGATTATTCTCAAGGATGAATAATATGATGTGATGAAAGTGTAAAATGTTATGAATGAATCAAAACTGTATTGTACCCTAAGAGAATGTAAAATTTTATAAAATATCAACATTTAAAATGAAAAATAAAAATTACATTTACAACACATTTCCTTCTTAAAAGGCTTACAAGCTCTCTTGCAAAACAAATGCAGAATCAATTACTAATTTCTCTTTTCTTTAACTTTCCTAGAAAATCTATTTGTAGTTTATTCCTTTGTCCATTGAAATGCCAAGGGATCTGTGACAAAGGAATACATTAGAGCTACATTTTCTTTGAAATCTATATATTTTATACTCTAATAATCCACTGAATGTCTGATTAGGTGTAAAATTATTTAAGAAATTAAAATATGCTACAACATGTAAACTAAGTACTATGTATGCAGTTATATGAAGAAATTCCCCAAACTGATGTATATTCCAATCACTCTTGAATCATAAAGCCTTAAAAATCCTTTACTGTACAGATGTCCCATGATTAGCTGTTTTCTATTGATTTGATTAAGTGTGAACGATATTGCTTCGCAGTCAGAGTAATAAAATTTCACAACACATTATGATAGACTATGTCTGTAAAGTATCCTTTAAATGTAATGATTCTTTTCAAATTTGCGTTAATTGCTCGTATTTTACAGCGATTAGTCAACCCACAACAATCATACAAATTATATTGTTTAAATGTTTTGAGACAAGTTGAACATGTACAAAAACAAAATAATGTGGAGTGACAAAGAACATGATCATTGTTCTTTTTCATTACTGAGCTAATGAAATTGTCAATAGTTTATAATAGGTTTATAATAAGAAAATAATAAATTGCGTACAGGGTAAATAAAGACATGCAAGGTAATGGCCTGTCAAGAAATTGTTCTACAGAGCTTTTGTATGCTGAGCACCTATTGTTTTAGCGTGTGGAAGGGTTACAAACTCATGTTGGGTTTTATATTTCTCACTGCAAATCGGGCTGATTTTACAAAGTCTCCAGGTGGGATTCGGGAATTGTAACAGTCAGTCTTTACAAAAGGCATATCATCTTCAAGAGTGACCTGGAAAACTTAGAACACACAATGGTACAGGTGGAAGTCTTGCACCGAATTAAGTTTGACCGTGTCCTTCAGAAGGTGCTTTAGTGAAGTAGAATTGTTTCAAAGGATTACACCACAACTGATTATTAATAATAATGCTTATTAATTATTCCTATATCTTTCAGTCGCATAATTAGCATTTAGCACATGATATATCATTTCTAGGTTGACTCATTTTTCAAGCTGATTCCATCAAAACAATCAAAGATTTAATGGAGTTGATTTTCTTTCTTTTGATTCCTGCAACTAAAAAGCTTTCTTTTGCAGCCATATCTCATCATGCTGCCAGAAGGCTTTTTCATTGAATGACTATGATTTCTTAAGTCAATATTCTATACAGATACATATCGCAAATTTACCAAACACTTTTAACAGTCCCATCACAGCATCCTTTTTGTGTATAACAAGCTGACAATCTGACAAGCTGGCATCGTTGAAGATAAATGTCTCAGCTGTATTGTCAGAGGGAACAGAGATACAAAGCACTTCTGAGGAGACATCCCATTGCCTTCCATCTTCATCACATGAAAAGTATCAAAACCAGTGATGAAACACAATACTGCATCATCAAGGGTGGGTGTTCTCATTCTTATGTTCATACTGGAACAAGATACATTCATGGTCTTCACTGGCGTTAGGCAAACTAATAACAGCTGATCCTTGGACAGTCTAACTCTCATGGCCTGTGAGGGGCTATAACATGAGGAAAATGAAGTGATTGCAAAGGATGAAGACATCAGACATCAGCTAGAAGACATCCAAATCTACCTTTGCTCTCTTCTCCAAGAGAGGTCAACATATAAAAGCCTTAGTCATGGACAACTCTCTAATACTACACTGCATGACAACCTACACTGACCTAAGACGAACATATCTATCAATCTGGATGGGCTTACTTTTTTCCATGGTTAGTTTTCTTACGTTTCTTTTTTATTCCTTTTCATTCATCTGTACTCCTGCTGAAAGGATTCTACAGTCATTATATTGGTAATTCAGTGCTCTAACTGATATGTTTTATGTAAAAAGCATAAGGTTGCACAGTATGTTCTGTTGATGAAATACAAAATTTTATAAATGGAGAATTTAAAAAAAATGACACCATCAAAAATGTGTTAAACTGTTTGCAAAGTTTACTAAATGTTTGTGGAAAAAAGTCACTTTTGTCAGAACCTGAAATAAACTTAATTTAGATAACTGTGCTGTAGGAAAATAGCTGGAAAAAAATAAAATGCATTTTTTTTTGCCTCAGCTGTTAATTGTTAAACAAGTTATTAGAAAAAAAACGCAGCATGTGTTAAGTTGACTAAGTACACCCTAAAAAAAAAAGGAACGTTTTCTTCAAATGCTTCATACCAAAATTTATGGACCCAAACTGAAAATGTTTAGGCCTGCAGGAAGCAAATTTAATATAAAGCACTGAATAGCCGTGTGTTCACAGAAATATAAACCGTATGTGAAATTCTTTTGATGTTAAAGGAAAAAAAAGAAAGGGAACTATGACAACTAGCATTTTAAAAACAGCAAGTTGGAACAGAGACAGCTATGGAGAAAAGTGAATAACTTTTTTTTTCCCCCTTTTACAATGCAGGTGATTTAGATCTTTTAAATATGCTGTTGAAGTTTCCAGTTGATAATTTTCCTTACACACCTTTTTGGGGTTAAAAAAAACACATCCAACCAAGGATTGGTTTAATGGGTCATAAAGTAACAGAGGGTGGGCCCGGATTTACCAGTGGGGAGAGAAGGCAGCTTCCAACAGGCGATTGGTTGGTTATAGCTTGGTTGCTTCACCTAAGTGTTGCTTCTAAGTGTGTAGTTGGAGATATTCTGGAGAGTTTTACAGAAGCTTCAACTGTCTAAGAGTTGTGCTAAGAGCTTTCTTTTCTACTGTTACAGGTAAGATTCATCTGTAGGAAAAGGTTACTGATTGCTTGCACAAGGTTTGAATTCCTGTTGGTAATTATAAGGCATTTGATTTGATTAAGCTAGTTACTTGCTATTGATTGCTGGTTAATTAGCTATTGTTTGCAAATAAGCAGAGGCCTACCCAGGTGTTAAACATTCCTAGTGGGTGGTGATTGTAGGAGTTATATAAGGCTTGTTGTCATTAGCTTGGCTGATATAGCTTGGTTGCTTCACCTAAGTGTTGCTTCTAAGTGTGTAGTTGGAGATATTCTGGAGAGTTACTGAAGGTAATCTGAGGTATTCAGTGAGGATAAAGAAAAAAGTTAAGATTAGTTTGAGTTAAATTATTTTCCTCATTGGAATGGCAGACTTAGTTCAGTGTAATAGTTGCTATGCATTTGTTTCACGGTCTGCTTTTTGGAGATTTGGTTGTTGTCTAATCTGTAGACAGTTCTCTATCTTGCGGCAGGAGATTGTATTTTTGCAGTCTGATATTTGTAAATTATCTGGTGAACAAACTCAGACTGGAACTGCTGCAAAGCCACTGCCGCAGAGACATACTAGGAATGGCAGATGGATTACTGTAGGATCTGGTAGACCTAGAGTTGTGGATAAAAGGCATTTTGCACAGTCTGTTGCTCTACATAATTCATTTTCTGCACTTTCAGAGTGTAATGGTGTTGTGGAGAGAGGCACTGAGGCTAGTGGTGTTGTGGAGAGAGGCACTGAGGCTAGTGGTTTTGTGGAGAGAGACACTGAGGCTAGTGGTTTTGTGGAGAGAGGCACTGGGGCTAGTGGTGTTGTGGAGACCGACTTGGAGACTATGGTGAGGCCTAATAGAAAGCAGTTGTTGTTGGGGGATTCGATCATTAGAGGTGTGGAGATGGACAATGGTGGTCTTGTGAGGTGTCTTCCCGGAGCTACTGCTCACAGAGACAGGAGACGTATCTGTAATATTGTTAAGAAAGCAAAGCAGGAAGGGGAATTGGATGTACTTGTCCATCTAGGGACAAATGACTTGGCTTGCAATGAGGTTTCAGAGGTTAAGGAAGTTTTTAGTGTTTTTGTCAATGATATACGACAGGTTGTTTCCACACTGTCATTCTCTGAAGTTCTGCCTGTGCATAACACTCAGAACGACAGGCGGATGCGTATTAGGGACTTTAATTTGTGGCTTGGTGAATGGTGTCGGGAGCAAGGATTTGGCTTTATTTCTCATGGTAGCTCTGTTTGGAATGGAAATAAGCTGTACAAAAAAGATGGTTTGCATCTTTCTCAAAAGGGAACAAATGTTCTCAGTGAGCAGTTCAGAGGTTTTGCTAGGATGTATTTAAACTAGGAGGGGGGGGCAAAAGGGTGATAAAACATCAATCCAATTGTCCCCAAAACAAGGACAGAAGGTGCCTGTAGCAAGTGTGTTAAAAAATGATAAGCTTAGAGTCATGTCTACAAATGCTCGCAGTTTAGGGAAAAAGATCCATGAAATTGTGGCAATAATGGCAACTGATAGTGTAGAT